TTAAAAAACTATTGAATTTGAGATTAAAAACACTTAAGACCTAGCCCCGGAGCATCGCCCGGGTCTAAGAGCTAGTGATTTTTATTAATATTTATCGAAAATGTGTCACAGAAGTTTTTAATATATCATATCCTCGAAAGTGCTTGAGAACTCGACTTATAAAATAAATGCTAATATCTAAATATTTTGTAATTTCTGAAATGATAGATATCCTCTTATTAATATCTAATGATTAAAATAAATGATGTTCTAACGAACTAATTCACATAAGCATACATTATGCTCTTTTAACATATTTCTAAACAAAGAATAAATATTTATTCTAGCGATTAAAATGATTAATTCAAATTTTCTATGCTAACATATAAATGAAAAAGATTATTATAATATAGTATATACTTTAATTTTCAAGAATTCAATTCACTCAAGTGTTGTTCTAGTACCATCATATAATAAATTCCCTGTAATTTTAATAGTTCTTGATGTGTACCTTGTTCATGAACTTTTCCATCTTTTATAACAAATATAATATCAGCATGTTGAATTGTTGATAATCTATGTGCAATTGCTAAGGTTGTTCTCTTACGAGCAGCAGCATCAAGAGCTTCTTGTACAAATTTTTCTGATTCTGAGTCTAAAGCTGACGTTGCTTCATCGAGTAATAAAATTTTTGGTTCTCGAATAAGTGCTCTGGCAATGGCAATTCGTTGCTTTTGACCACCTGAATGAAAAATAAATTAGTAATATTATATAGAACTCTTCAAAAAAAAAACCTTGCAAAACAATATTTATGATAATAACCGGAAAGTTGTAATCCTCTTTTACCAACACATGTATCATAACCATCAGGTAAACTCATAATAAATTCATGAATATTTGCTTCTCGACATGCCTTTTCTATTTCATTTTGCGTAATATTTTGTCCAGGTCGACAACCTAAAACAACATTTTCCTTTATAGTCATATCATATAATGATATTTCTTGACTTACAAGAGCAATGTGCTCTCGAAGATTGTTCACATTCATTTCAGCAATATTTAATCCATCAATTGTAACTTTACCACTCGTCACTCGATAAAATCTTTCAATAAGACTTACTATAGTACTTTTACCACATCCCGATGGGCCAACTAATGCTGCGAATTGACCGGGTTTGACATCTAAATTTAAACCTTGAAGAACTGGAGCATTAGGTCGAGTCGGATAATGGAAATAAACATCAGAAAATTTAAGGTGACCAGTGACAATTTTAAATTTTTCACCACTTTGACACCATGTATCAATCATCGGAACACGTTCTAATAACGATATTATGGTAGCAGATGCAGACTTTGCTTTTGTTATATCTGAAGTATTAACAAAGATACGACCAGCAAATGATGTTCCCATTATAATGGCGGTATGAATCGTAAACATTTTGAAGAGATCATATTCGTTATCAATGAACAATTTAGTACCATACCAAAATACTAAAGCTTCTACTAAATAGTAGATACTATTTGAGAACGCGAAGGTGATGGAGGCCAAGAAAGCATTATTAAAACCTTGGCGCATGGGTTCATCTAGTAAATTATGATATATTTTCCATAAATCATCTTCACGAGTAAGAGCAGCAATCGTTCGAATATTATCAACACCTTCACAAACTATTTGCGCAGAATATTCATAAGCTTTCTTAGTTTTTTGATGGAAACCGTTTATCATTGCTACATGTAATGAGCCGGCACAAAACATTAAGGGTGCAGAAACTAAGCAGACTAAAGTGAGCTTCCAACCAATTATAAGAGCCAACGTGACGCAAGCAAAGATTGTAACTAGTACTTGTAATATATTTCCAAATCTAAAACCAGCTAAACCGTTAATATAAGTTATATCTAATGACAAGTGACTAGTTAAAGCACCTACACCATGATTTCCTTCATCAAAGAAGGAAATATCTTGTCGTAAAATAGAAGCAAAAGACATAGATCGAATTCGTTCGATAAGTTTTTCACTCGAAAATCCAAGAGTAACATTTTGGGTAAAATACGCAAAAAAGTTTATCACAGCGAGTGCAAGGAACATAAAAGCCCAGAAAGTTACATCATGATGTAAAATATCTCCAGTTTCTGAAAATACTTGAATAATGTTACCAAAGATAATGGCGTAGGCTGAGTAAAGGCAACCTATAATTAAATAGTTTTACCTTTTTTTTCTTGTTTCGTAAAGGATTACCACATAATAAACGAATTTTTTTCACTCACCACAAATAATTGATGATATTATACCTATGGAAAGCATAAGTTGTTCAGGCTTATTAATGGATGCTATCTTCTTAATCAATTCCCAAACAGTAAAATTATAATCATGCTTCAATCCCATTTCAACGTCAAATTTTTGAGTAATCGGGTGATCTACATTTTTGGATGATTCAGTAGCATCATCTTTCACCGGAGTTATAAATGATTTCTGTATATTAAGATTTTCTTCAACTTTTAAAGACTGTTTAATCTGTTGAATTTCAACAAATTTATAGTAAAAACCTTTTTTGTCTATGAGCTCTTTGTGTGTACCCATTTCCACAATAACACCTTTATTCATTACAATAATCTTTGTCGCATTACGAATAGTAGATAAACGATGGGCAATAACTATTGTTGTGCGATTCTTTGAGACTTTATCTAATGCATTTTGGACTATAACCTCACATTGTGTATCAAGAGCATTGGTAGCTTCATCGAGTAATAAAATCTTTGGATCTTTAATAATAGCACGAGCAATCGCGATGCGTTGTTTTTGACCGCCAGATAATAAAATTCCACGTTCACCAACTATAGTTTCATATTTATCAGGAAGATTCATAATAAAATCGTGAGCACTAGCTATCTTACAAGCATTTTCAATCATTTCACGCTTTTTATTATTTGGTAAATTTTCATAAATAGAACCGATCAATCCATAAGATACGTTTTCAGCTATAGTAGTCTTAAAAAGTACAGATTCTTGACTTACAAAACTTATTTGTCTCCTAAGCCAAGTTAAATTAAGAGATTTGATATCATGTCCGTCAAGAAATACGCCACCAGAGATAGGATCATAGAAACGAAGTATAAGAGACATAATCGTACTTTTACCAGAACCTGAGGAACCAACAATAGCAACAATAGAGCCAGGTTCAACATTCAATGATACATCATTCAAAATTTTAACATCAGGACGAGTCGGATAAACGAAATTTATATTTTTAAATTGAATGTGACCTACAACATTTTCAGGCTTATCTCCAGTATCAGAAGAAATATCAATCGAGGGAACACGATCAATAGTTCCAAATATTTTTGAGCCAGCGCTAGCAGCAAGACTAAGAGTTTGAAATTCACCAAAAAAATAAACAAGGTAGAAAGTACCATATAAAAATGTTAAGAGTAAATTAACAGCCTTAAAAAAAAAAATAATAATAATCAGTGACTTGAAGTAAATTAATATCAGGATAAAAAAAAAGTAACTTGTACTTGTCCGGGAGATATTTCTTGATTAATAATTAATGTAGAAGCAAACCAGAAAGCTAAACCATGAGTTGCAGCACTGACAAAGTTCATTATGCCAATAGAAAACCCATTAAATAAAGATTTTTTAAAACCTTCTTTTCTTGCATCAGTTAAGTAAGCATCGTAAAGTTTAGAGAGTTTCTGTTGAATACCAAAGGCTACAGTAGTTCTAATGGTTGAAATAGCTTCTTCGGCGATTATTCCGGCATAAGAATAAAAATCCAAACTTTTTTTCGTAAAAATCACGTTAAATTTATTCATTAAGTAACTGTGGATAGTAAGAAAAGGGATCAAGTAGCCAAGTACGAGAGTCATTTTCCAACTTATCGTAAGCGCAATAATGAATGATGAAATAAATTGTGACAAAATTCTAAAAGAAGCAAAATGAAATAATGATAACAAAAGAAAAAATAAAAACAAATAA